AGTCAAGTTTAATGAAATAATAAGTATAATTTCATTGACTATTTACTTAAGTCTATTGAAGTGGCGTTTTATTGATTAGTAAGTCATGTTTAATTAAGCAGTGAGTAGAATTTGATTGGGTAATAACGATAATCTAATAGAGTAGTAAGTGAAAATTCATTAAGTAGTAAGTAGGGTTTAATTAAGTAGGAAATAAAGTTGAATGAAGAAGAAAAGTGAAAGCCAATTGAGCAGTAAGTGAAGTCTTATACAATAGTTGTTGGAAAATTTATAAAGAGGTAGTTGTGAATTGAAATAGACTCCATTTTGAATGAAAGGGTGTAACCTTTCATGGTGTCTCTTTATTTTAAAAGAATAGGTATGTCCATTTTTCATACCTTTTCTATTCAAATTGAATAAGTGCCAACAAAGCCTATATAAAGGCAGCCCATTTCAATTTTGATTGATCCGAAAAATTCAGTCTGAAATTCTTGTCTCTTTGCTGTCCATTTTCTTTTAGTGCATTATTCTTCATATAAAATATTAGGAATAAATTTCACAGAGTTATACAACACAATGTTCTAGTTTCGCCGGACAAATTTGTTTGAAGTGCTTCTACAAATTTGTGAAGATCATTGTATCCTGGGAGATAGACGCCACTCAACCGTAAGCACCGTAGCAGGGCGAATCTGTCTTAAGGACAGAGTGTCACACACTCGACTTGGTCTTAATTTTAATTCGATTCGATAAATAAATCCGGTATGCTATTTATTTATTTTGTTTGATTTTATTTCAAGTTATTTTATTTACACAGAAGATTGATCCAACAATCTTAAGACAGATTCGAATTATTCTGTTTACAGAATTTTTCGTTTGTTTCTTTTTTTTTTCATTCTTCGTAAATAATTTCGGAAGAAAATTATTTTCTGTGGATTTACAAAATAATATTCTGGTTGGAAAAAATAAATAGTGATTATATGCTATTTGACAGATAGTAGTAATATACTGTCTCTTTTCTTTGACAACAACTAGTAGTACGATACTGGTGTCATTAACAATTCAGAATATATTTTTGTGGAATTTTTCAGAAATTAATTTTGGGTTTTAGAAATTATTTTCTGAGTTTTCATTACTTAAAATTCTGTTTAAGTATTTTAATTATTGAAGTGTATAGAAATTAATTTTCTGTGTGGAATTAATTTGGTTGAATAAAATTTTATTTTATTTCCAAATTAATTGAAAAATAAAAGTTATTTTCTTATTTCTTTTATTTTACAGAATTTAATTTCTTGTGTGGAATTAATTTGGTTAAATAAAATTTTACTTTATTTCCAAATTAATTGAAAAATAAAAGTTATAATTTTTATTTCTTTTATTTTACAGAATTTATTTTTCTGTGTGGAATTAATTTGTTTAAATAAAATTTTATTTTATTTTCAAATTAATTGGCAAATAAAAGTTACATTCTTGTTTCTTTTGTTTTTACAGAATTTAATTCTATGAATTTGGTTTAATTTTCTGTGTAGTGAAAATTCTAATTATAAATTTGTTTTATAAATTAGAATTGATGGCTACTGAAACAAATGCCCAAATAAGTACTACTGTGGTGGCTACAATTGCACCAACCCCCTCTCCTGTGATGACAGTACCAATAAATCATGGAGAGAAGCTAGAGAAGTTCTCAGGAACTGACTTTAAAAGATGGCAACAGAAAATGTTGTTCTATCTTACAACTCTGAACCTGGCTCGTTTTCTCCGTGAAGATGCTCCTATCCTGAAAGAGGATGAAACCGA